GGTGACCAGGTGGGCCGGTCCTTTGGCGCTGCCCTCGGGCGGCGTCCCGTCTTTGTTGGGGGGGACGATAAAGCCGTCGCTGCTCCCGCGGCCCAGCTGGTAGTAGGTGTGCAGCTGGTGGACGTGGTTCCGGGAGCCCAGGTTTGGCATGCTCTTGTAGTACACGTCCTCGGCGTCGCCCCCCCCGGCCGGCGGGGGCTCGGTCTGGGTGCTGGCGGTCACGCTCTCGGCGGCGGGCACCCCGGCCAGGGCGGGCATGCTGGTGTAGCGCGAGTCCCGGGGCGGCGACGGCAGCTCTTCGGTGTGCTCGTTGGTCAGCAGCGGGAAGAAGCTCTCGCTGTGGTCTTGGGGGAGCCGCCGGCGCGGGTAGTGGTGCGGCTGGTGGTTCTCCGCCGAGTAGAGGCGCGGGGGCAGCAAGGGGGCGTCCGATTCCTCATGGATGAGTTCCAGGCCCAGGCCCTCCTCGTGGCTGAAGGAGGCGGCGTCGTCCAGGACGATGGCGTCCTCTTCGCTGCCCCCGCCGCCCAGGTTGTTCACCAGCTTGTTCATCAGATTCCGGTTCTGCTCGCAGGAGCGCTCGTGGCTGTTCAGGTAGGAGGGGATGTAGTTGGAGGTGAGTTCCTTCAGGATCTTTTTCTCCAGGGCGGTCTCGTTGTGGTTGTAGCCTCGGTCTATGATTTGCACACAGTTGCTCAGGTACTCGCCGCTGGCGATGCTGTAACTGTTGGCATGGTTACCATTCAGTGGTAGAGTATCCATGACACTTGTATCCCTGGCATTGTTCAGAAGCCCCTCTGAAAGAAAGTACAAGACACTATGACATTGCCATCCGGTGGCCATAGAGCAACACAGAAACACAAAAGCAGAAACATAGCACTGTGAAGTATGTGCAAATTGCTAGGATTTTTAATTAGGTATAAAATGTTCGGAAGTAAAATACACTAATTGAATGTACACATCTATATATACTTGGACAATTGATAGAAATCTTATAAATGGAAAAGAACTATTTAAAATAAATCTTAAAAAGAAAAAAAAAAACTATGAATTTGCAATTTACACACAAACATTGCCTAAACTTATTTGAAGCCTGTTTAATTACAATTTAGGGGAGAAAAAAAGCAAAACTTTGGTATAATCATTCATAGCTTTCAATTTATACACATCAAAGTCAATTCAGTAATTAGTTATTTTAATTTTACATGTTGTCTTAACATTGGAATAGGTATAATAGTAACATAATTCCTGTGTGGTACTCTGAATATACTGGTCCAAGTAAATGAATCAAGCGCTTTCTAATGATTTGATATATAATTCTGTAATATTAAAAGTAATTCCTACCTACAAAACCACAAAAGGATTATGTTAAATTTGTCAGAATGATGTAGTCATAAAATAATATTTAGTCAAATGAGTGGCACATCAAAATAATTTGCACATAGGAAGTTTCCAAAGGAAAAATATTTGTCTTTACTTTCTACTTTTTTTTTCTGCTATAAGCACTTTGGTTGCTATTATAGATTAACCCACTAGTAATTATTTAGGGTCATTAAGATAATAATACAAAAGAATTTGATCTGGTTCCTAAAAACATAGTGTGAAAATTAAAGTTTCCATTTCATAACGAGTGATTACTTT